TTATAAAACAAAAAAAAAGTATAAACATGTAAATTTCATTTTAACACATTCGCTTATATTCGCGTATATTGGTTCAATTTCCTCTAAGTAAGCGTTTTCCAAAGTTTGGTTTTGTATCAATATTTATCGGTGACTTCAAACATATTTTTATAAAATATTTCTCTATGAAAAGCGATAAGATCGTGACCTATTTCGATGCAAATTGACGATTTCCTTCAGACAGCAAATACGATGGACCTGTACGAAGGAAGGCGTCAATATTTTTGTATTTTTATAAAATAAAATTAACTAAAAGACTGTTAACATCTAAAATTATTTTAAATTGTTAAGCAAATATTTATGGTTATATTTCGATGGAAATTTCATGTCGGTTACAAGAAATTTTGAGCAAACGAACTAAACTTGGCTATTTAAAAAAACAAATGAAGGTCTCTTCACTTCGAATCCTACTGAAGTAAACCTCAGTAGAAGTCGTACTTAAAAGATATCTTATAAAAGCTTAAAGCGGTTACTTTTAAGTTGTAGAACTTGGCACTAGAAGTGACAAGTAATCAGTTAAGTCTGGACTCAGTATCACGGAGAGTAGTTTTTAAAGAGGTTTTTTCACTCCAATGAAAGAAATAGATAAAAGACATTACTAATATTATATTGTTCTTCCGTTATTAATTCGTAATTTTTTAGCATATTAAACACATTGAAAAGAACAGCTTTTAGACAGACAATAGAAACTCATGTTAATCATCAATGACGACAGAACAAAACATAAAATAAAACATTCATCTAATCAGACGAAAAAGATCTTTTAAGAAACTTTTTGCTGTTTACACAAATGCTATAAAATACTTCGACCCGACCGTCTCGTGTACATAAGTAATTGTTTCAACAAAAACCAAGTCTTAAATGTTTGAAAGATTTTTACGACGTAATTTTTATCGCATTCCAAACTAAATGTTGTTTATCTTGTGAAAATAGAGGTAACTATATAAAATAGTAGTCAATAGGTTTTTAGATAAGAAAAAAACTTAACTTATATACTTAAATTATATAATCGTAGTAAATATAAACATCTTACTTACGACCAAATATTGAAACGAAATTTAAATATGTAACAGTGTCTTATTTGATAAGGCCACGCTTAAATTCCAAAATCCAATAAAACTTTGACATCTGAAAGATTGTAAGAAACAATGTGTTTGAGAGAACAAAAAGTAACAAAATCACTAATTGTAATCTCCTTGAAAGATGACATGATCAAGAACGGAGTGATGACTGAGATGACGGATGATAGAGTTATGTGGAAAACGAAAAACCCGGCGCGCCGACCCTACGGGAGTAGGATAAGGTAGGAGAGAAGATGATAGTGTTCCCGTGACCCAGCCATCGGCGGACAGGAGGAACACCGCTGGGTTTTTAGTGGGTATTCCGGCCACGTCTGTTCTTATTGGCCGGCGAGTCCCACATACCCCCCTGGAAACGGGGGGGATGCGTAAAGGCATTTTCCCAGCGTGAAAAAAAAAAGGTGATGATGATGATATACCAACTTCTATAACAGTACATTGCGTAAGTCTCTTAGCGGCTAAAATGCCAGGTGTGAAGATTGACGTTGCCTTGTTACCAATGAGGTCGTTGACATTTACGTTAAAAGAAGACTTTAAAAAGACTAGACAGTGTTTAATAATGATATTTTAATTTGGTATCAAGACACCCGATGAAGTTCGTAAACGTCTTTTTAACTAATTAATACTAAGTACGGTTGTTGAATATTAATAACGAGTCTAAAGACCTCACTAAAGTTTCGAGTTTAAAACATAATTTTACACTGTCGCTAACTATATTTCTCGTTGTTATAACGGTATTAAAATCTACTATAGGTTCTTTTATGATGTTTTTAATTAAATTTAATGATTAAAACTATATTTCTACCGCGGAATTGGATGGAGAATCGTGATTTATTAAGATACTAGCTGTTCCCATGCCACTTCATTCGCACGAACTGATAAAAATTTCATTTTATTGTGCACATTTGTCAAATTATCAATTGCAGATGTCAAAATGACATGACATGATGCCAAACCATGGCAACCTTACTTCCTTGATGTTGGCAACAACTTATGGTCTCATTACCACATTAGGGTTTTTTATCCAAAATATTTACTCCTAAATTTAACGGCGTGAAAATATATAGCCTAAAGCGTGACGTAAGTGTATAGCTTTTTATCTAAAAAGGAGTTATTCGAAAATATGCTGTGATTGCTGACATCTTAGGCAACAAAGAGGTGTGTTTACGCTTTATTATATTAGTATAGATTTCAATGGTCTCACTAAATTAAAGTTTAAAAAGCAGTTAGACGGTTATTTAATCACTCCCAAGATCATTTACCTAAAACGTAAAAGATAAAGGGCTCGACTAGGTAAACATGACAGAAAAACCGATTGAAACAATTTGTCACGTAACGACAGATGTCCTGTCCTCTGTTGGAAGGTTAAATGAAATTCAGGTCAGGTCACCAGTTCAAAAAAGTTAGACCGTTTCAGGAAATTCTACGTTAGAAAACTACTTTATAGTAATCTTACCTGCTAGATACGTTAAATTGCTACTTAAGCTGTCTCTTAACGAGGCGTTATCAACTCTGAGTGCGAATAAATATTATAATCGCCTCTAAAACCTCTCACTGGCGCGGATAACGGTCGCTTAGTGAGAAAGCGTACGGATTCTTCATTTTAAATAGTGAAAGTGCAAATAAAAGGTGAGGTGTAAACTATCTTAAGAGTATGAAGACAAATATAAATGACTACAAAAAAGTGAGAATACATAAGCTAGTAAAACGACTAACTGGCATCACAGATAACACGTGCCGGGTAGATTACAGTAATATGTTAACGAAATCATAAGTGACAAGACGTATTAAACTTTGTCACAAAATTAAATATGGGGCTAGCTACTAACATGAAGAGTCATGATAAGGAAACAAGTATACATCATAAATAAGGTAAAAAGTATTTAAAAAAATGTTATATAAGTATGGTAAAAATGATAACTGTAGTCAATTTCATAAGAAACTGGCACAATTACCGAGGATGAAAAGAAGTGTAAAACAATACAACAATGAAGAAATTAAAGAGACAGTAAAATTCAAAACAAACAATAAAACACATTGGATCAAGAAGGTAAACCTGAGAGCAAACAAGGACCATCTATGTCGGAGGAGCACTAGAAAAAAAAAGCTACTAACATGTCGGGTACTACAAGTAACTTAAGTGCGAAGAAGCAAGCTGAAAACCAGCACAGGAATGGCTTAGTTCCTCCTGAATTCGCTGAGCTGACTATCTTTTGCCACAATTTTATTACATGATTATTTAATTTCTTTTGTTTCTTTTTGGAGCAATAAATATCTATTCTATTCTACTAGCAACGTTTGTGCATACGTGTAGCTTGCGAATGTGCCAGCTACTGTCGTAATACCCGCAAGTTGAGACCACAAAATCGTCTCACTTAAATAAATATTCTGGTTGAAAAGTTGTATCCTATCTATCGCCATTAGGCTGGATCATTCACCAGTCTGAAATACATTTTATCTGAGCATTTGGTATTACGTTGCGGATAAAATGTATTCGTCAATATCAAGTAATAGCTGATGGAGCACTTAGTTTACTTTATTCCGTAAAATATAAAAGTTATTTACCAATCCATACTAACATTATAAAAAGAAATTTGTATTTGTGCAACGCATAAACTCAAAAACTACTACCCTTATTTCAAACTTTATCACTGAGTACCAAAGGGTTTTTTTACTAGTTTTTTCTTTTCATTTTTAATTCACGATCGAATTTGCGAGCAAAAACTAGTATGTGTATTCAAAAATTATGAAACCTTTTAAATAACATTATCATAGATGATTAATATAACTTTTTAAAGTGAATCACGGCAAAGGGATTAATTTTTAAACCTATGCTTTCTTTCAAACAGTGTTGTACATCTAAACAAAATGTTATTTAGATGCGTGGAGCCATTCGGGAGATAATAGTACTTTCTAACAAATATCCATCCATACAAACTTTCGCATTTATAATATTAGTAAGACAAGATACTGATTTATAGTAAAAAGTTAGTTCTGTTTTGGTTACAGCTTCACACTTCATACATCATGTTTGAATTGCTTTATGTTTTCAAGCTTAGAATTTTCTTGGCGTGTATTCCAGGCTATTTGTCATGTCGGCTACTGGCTGTGATTGTTGACGATTTATCTTAACTGTTATTCTCGTTGACATTTGGCGAAAAAATATGAAGTTTTAGGTTAAGTTTTTTTACTGTAAATATGTATCTGTAAATATTCTCTCTGTGGGTATGAATAGAAAAAAACACTCATAATCTTTTATCACATTTATTATTTAACATTATTCGATATATAAAATACATGTTTTATATACATTATGTACTTACATTAAATGAAATTAATCGGTGGTTTTAATATAAATTACTATTTGAAAAAAATCGACGAATTCATATTTCACATAGTCTATGTTGAACATAATTAAATTCCACAGTCTATAAAAATCATGTCTTATCTTCATTGTATAACAATAAATTACATTCAAGTTACTTATAATTTAATATTACTTATAAATAAGACAGTATACAATAATTTACATGTAACAACAGTTTTACTTAACACATTACTTACAAGACACATTATAACTTAGTCGTGAGTTCACACAGCTAAAACATACACAAAAAAGGTTTTGAGCAATTTAGTTTTTTAAACAACATGGTTTCACTTTTTACATACACTTCATGAATAGATTATCGTAAAATATCAAACAGGGAAAATCTTATTTGATGCGACATATTCCAATAACAAATGCTTCAGATAGATAACATATTTAAAATTTATAGTTTAATTCTAATTTTATTCTATAGAATACTGTACGTACGTATATTATTATATAATGAACATTGACACAAACATTAACGCGATCTCCATAATAAACGCGAATCAAATTCAGTTAAACTCATTGATTACTTCACCATTCAAGTTGACTCTCTTCTCGTCCGTCTTGAAGAAGTAAGCCGCTGTTTCAGCGACCTTGATAGTTTCACTCACACAAAATGGCGACGGCTCTTTTATAAAATCTACTTTATTGACAGCAATACTGTTTCGCGAATCACGATTTTTATACTTCGATTTGTTGTATGTAGAGAATTCAATAGTATCCCGACACGTGTTCTCCATTGCTCGTGATTCAAATCGCTTTCGTTTGCGACATAGAAGTGTCTCGTGAAACGCCGTACGGTACCTACGGACAATGATTACAAGATTAGATTATCGCCAGACACATTTCAAGTCCCAATAGCTGTTAACAGCACAGACATTCTATAATTTGGTTGTTCGAATCACGTCATTAGACTATTGTTCAATCTATATCCTAGCACAAGCCTAAAACTTAGTTAAAACTTTTTCAACCAAAAATGTCTCTATCCATCTCGTTCCGTTACAAAAATTTAAATAAAAACATGAAAACATAGCCTTATATTTATTCACATTAGTATTGTAGTGTTTTGTTATTCGTAGTTTCATAGGATACATTATTCATGAATTATTTATGAGATATTATGCCAATATTTTGTTATTGACAATAAAGTTCGTTGACACGAATATTTTCTGATGCAATCTAATAATCTACGACAGTGACTATCTTGAAAAAAAAATCCTATGACGTTTACAATTAGGAATTCAATGTCTCTTTAAAATTGTTCAACCAACTACTCGTATTATAGGAAAAAAAAACAAAAGAACTATCGTCAAATTAAATTTCTTTCATGCGACGCAAAAAGAGAGAAATAGAGAGAGAGAGACTCTTATGTTCTTCAAAGATGTAGCTTTTTTATCATTAGTCTAAAGTACCTGGCACTCATAACGTTGTATAGAATCGGATTAACAGTCGCTGAAACGTAGTATAGAGCCCCAGCGACGTTGAAGAGATGTTCATTGATGACGTGAAACTGAGGCAGATCGTAGCCATAGATGTAGAACAGCCGCTGGAAGTGGAACGGCGCCCAACAGACGAAAAATGCAACCACAACAGCAACTGCAACAAAACAATTGATTATAACCCCAATAGCATAACAGTTTAGGGTCTACTATCGATTGGAATGTGGCTTTGAATCCGCTAACCATCTTTATATATATATTTTTCTATTTCCTATTACATAAAACACTATATCAATGCAAGTTGAAAGCAATTTTAATCTATATCTATATATTAAAATTATAAATAGGAAAAGTTTGTAATTTTGTATGTATTGAAATAACTCAAAACTATTGGACCGATTTCAAATTTTTCACTATTAAAAAGCTACGTTATGAATGTGTAACATTGGCTGTTTTTTTAATTGCACGCGGTCGAATTCGCGAGCAACAGCTATTTAGTTATAATAAAATTGTCTGGCTGTATCCACTAGACTTTATTAAGCTTGATTAAGTAAACGTATTGCTTTTGTCTTTACCGAGCATTCTGATAATAGCTTTTCTTGACTTGGCTTGTTTTGTTTCTCCGTGGACATGACCATTTAAAAGTCCGATTTTCGTCTTTTTCGTGATCTTTGTTGACCTAAAAATGTAAAAATTTAATTAACAAATAATGTGTTGTTATGATATTTAAATTGACCCGAGCAATAAGTTATTTCTTACCTTATATGTAATGCAATAGTCACATAAAGGCAGAGAATAAGAACAGCAGGAACAAAGAAGAAGAAGATGCTGCTAAGTTCTAGAAGAGGTGACGGGGCCATCAGCGCACAGAATGCTGAATTCAGCGACATGTTGCCTGAATCTGAATGAAATAAACATTTAAAAATATTCATAAATAATCTTCATTTCTGTCACCAGTAAATGTAAGAAAAGTTAACAAGAAAATTGCGCTTTAATGACACTAAAATACCAATTATTGGTACCTTACATGTATATTTTTAGGTTAGATTTTCATACTTTAATCGTTATTTCGCTTATCCTGAAGTAAACGAGTTAACTTCGGCTTTACTTGTGTATTATTTCTTATATGAAAGACAAAGTTAACAAATGACATACATTTATAATAATAATGGCGTCAAAATTAAGAACATAACCTAATTCCGTGCAAAGGTCAAGTAGAGTCCGACAATAATCTTTATGAATGAACGTTTAAATTCATTCATTAGCTTTAACATATCTAATGTAGGAAAGTCTTTCTAAATGGCAGTTTTGTTGATAGTCTTTGTTCATAGTGTGTAGGTGACCGAAATAAATCTTATAGTTACAATTCTGTTGGCTTACTGTAATTGTCTTTTATGATATTCAAGATGGCGGTATTACTAAATCGTGAAAATGAATAGTGTGAGAGTCAAAATGGCGGGTGTACCATAGCGAATTGAATTATACCACTTATTAAAAAAATGTACCTCAAATTGACGGCAATATGGCAGGTGTAACTTCATTTCGATATAATTACGTTCTAGAGAAGGTACTATTTTTTTTGAGTGTGGTACTAATTAGTACATTTTAGGTACATTATTAGGAAGTGGTATAATTCAATTCACTGTGGTACACCTGCCATTTTGACTCTCACTGAATAATATGTTTAAATATAAAAATTAAATTATAATTTGCTAGGTCCTGACCATTTTAATTCTTCTTCTCGTGTTTGTTAATAGAAGGTTTTAGAGAAGAAAAAAAAGTACATCGTTTTAATTTAACATGTACATAGAACATAGTCTGTTAGTTTGTATGGTTACTTGAATTTAACTAAGATTTTTCATATAAAATCGCTACATAACAAAATAAAGTAGTCAATTTACTTGGTGGATAATCTCTATAGCTGATCTCGCTATAAACAGCAAACGGTGAGGCGCAGAGGAAAGAGATGAACCACAGGATAAGGATGATCCTGGAGGCGCGGGTCAGGCCCGCCATCGCGTATAAGTACAGCGGGTGACATATCGCCAGATATCGCTCCAATGTAAATGCAGATATTGTTAACACCGACACATAAGTTGCCCTGGAAATATTCATTATTAAATAAGAAAGAAAAAGTGTTCAAACTGAATCCTTAATCAATTTCTTGAACAAACTTACGCTTCAGATATGAGGGCACGTAGTTTGCAGAACACGAGACCCAAACTGTACGGATATTGGTGCCAGTACACGGATAGATCATTTGGAAGACCTGCAACAAGAAATATTAATGTTAATTATTGAAAAGCTCCTTTATTACATCCATACTTATACTTACTATTATAATAAAGCGTAAATACACACTCTGTTGCCTAAGATGCCAGATACTACAGCATATTTTTAAATAATCCTTTTTTTAATAAAAAGCCCTACACTTACGTCACGCTTTAGGCTATATACTTTCACGCTATTAAACTTAGGGGTAAATATTTAAGATAAAAACCCTAATGTGGGAAAGAGACCATACGTTGCTGCCAACATCAAGGAAGCAAGGATGCTAAAGTTAGTCATTATGTCAAGTCATTTTGACATTTGCAATTGATGATTTGACACATGTAAACAACAAAATAAAATTTTCGTAATTTTATGCGGATGATGTCGCACGGAAACAGCTAGTCAATACTAAACTAGCGTGTACCATCTTTCCACCACCGTTTTACGTACGGTGTCGGCTAACGTTAGTAACATATTTTTTTCCCAATTGCAATTAATTAAAAAAATAAATTTTAGGTATAATTCCTGTGGTAACATGAACTGTTTACTATACATAATAAATGTTTATATACCAGTTTTTGGCACTGATGATATACAGTACATTGAAACTTTAATATTCGTGAAAGGAACTACTTCATATATTTAATATTCATTTCATCTTTCAACTATCACGCTTACGAGTACTTTTAATATCGCATTTTTAGGTTATCTACTCTACTAGCAACCGCGTAATCATTTTTCATTCATCTTTTCAAGGAACTTTTAAGCATATCTTGTTGAATTTTATTCACATCCTCTTTTAAGATTTTTAAAGTACTTTGAAAGCCATCAAAAGCACTTTTTATGTTTCCACTTTGAAGTGTAATTAATCAAAATATCGAATAAATTCATCCACAAAGTGACGTATTAATTTAATTACATGAACCGAAATGCGGGTTCGACCTTCATTGAATGTCAATGAAAATACCTAAATCAGAGCCCTACTCCTATTTAATGATTAATGCTCTTTTATCCCCTAACGATACAGATTCTAAAACATTAAATTATTAATTTAAAACATACTAACTAATATTATAAATGCCAAAGTTTAGATGGATGGACGTTTGTTAGAGTTTGTAGCGTAAACGGCTGAAAAGATTTCGATGAAATTTGGTATAGCTGTAGAAAATAGTCTGGAAGGACATATAGACTACTCACTTTTATTTTTTTTAATTCCACGCAGACGGAGTCACGGGCGAAAGCTAATACTATATTTTAAAAAAAACATCAAAGGTTTAAAGCTTTTCAATATTTTTTTTTGTTATTTTAAAGGCCTCTACACACGCTCAAATCTGACATTATTAACTACCCTGTCAGTTGATCTGTACAGTTCAAGTTTTCTCTACAAACTATCGAAACAGTGGGCATGTAGTGGGCTAAACCTACTGCACATTTTTATACAGGAATAGAATGTTTTCATCTTGTTAATAATGAAAATGCATTTAAAAATTAATACAAACAATCAAATGCTTCTTCTTTATGAGATTGGTAAGAAGTAAGATAAGAAAGCAATAATATTCACTAAAATGTAAGGATTTTTATTGTGTTTAAAGGTTTATTTCATCCTACGTTGAACTACGACTGCTTTCAATGTGGGAGTCATAAAGGGCGAACCGTGCAACAATACTGGCGAGTGTATTTTATTACCGCATACTGCATCTGATGTTACTCTCTTGTTAATTTTAAAATCAGAATATTGTAAAAATGCAAAACACTGACACTGATATTTAATTTAGCCGTTATTACCTATACATATATACAGGCAATAACGGCAAAAATATTATACTGTCACACTTCATACTAATATTATAAATGCGAAAGTATAGATGGATGATGGAAGTTTGTAGCCTAAATTGCTGAATAGATCTCAATGAAATTTGGCATAAATATAACGGATAGTCTGGAAGAACACATAGGGTACTTACTTTTGTTTTTTTTTAATTCCACACGGACGTAATCGCGAGCGAAAGCTAGCATGTTCATTAACTCTTAACAGGTTTTATTTTTAAACTTGTAAACAACTAATATTTTATTATCCAATTCATAATAATAACTTTTAACTAAACTATTTCTCATTGCTGTTGTGATTTCAGAGAATCAATATCTGGAAATTTAATAAAAAACTTAACAAATGAACGTCATACGATAACTTCCATCAGCGAAACGCGGGTTGTCACAAGTTAGCCTTTATCTAATTAGTGCCTTATACAAGAGTATGAATGGCTTTGAAACTGACAACTCTCTTAATGAATTTACTTCGTGTACCCTCTTCTGAAAAGGGGAATTCAATTGCATTCATAACACATATTGACAAAATCTATTAAAATCTATGATACAATATTAGGCAATCATTTGAAACAAGAACAAATATATCGGCCGAATACTACATCTTAAACACTTCGCTTTTTAATACCACTAACAATCTGAAAGACGATAGAATTTTAAGGGAATTTAGAGCTTAAACTAACATCTATTCCGCTAAGCACAAGACCGGGAAAAGTTTGCCGAGGAGAGAGAGACACAGCGGACAGAGAGAAAGAGAGAGAGAGCTTAAACGTAGCCTTATAATTTAATACGGTGTTACCTATCTAATTTTCGTACCCATATTTGGTCTTAAAGTTATCTCTGGGATAGTCTATGTTTCTGAAAAAGAATACGAATGAATGAAGGATTTATTGTTGAAATATAAAAAAAAACAGCTTTTGTAGTGAACTCCGAGGTTGAATATTGTCTGATTCTCTGCTGTTTTCAGTTGCCTTGAATTTAGATGAAACCAATATTATAAATTGATATATTTTGTTTACAACTGTCGCCCGGATTGTAATATCGTTGTTCGTATATAGGTCAATGTGTCGTAATCCTAATGTGTGAGGCTATTAGTGATCATGTGATGACCTTTATTTTTAATACTGTTTACTATTCCAAGAGCAATATATTAACCCTACTTTATGCCCGTAGGTAATGTTGAAAGGTTAAAAAGACATTAAGGAAAATTTAAATTGCAAATGTGGCAACGTCGTTATATAAGACTTAGAGAAGCCATACACGGACCCAGAGCAACCGATAAAGACTGCTTCAAACCGCCGTTAGAGGATCAGAAGCTGAAGTATCTAAAATGCGATTATACGCCGATCGTTAGTGAAAGTTGTCGATACTGCTTTTGTTTAATTGATACACAGCACGTGTATAGAAACCTTCATTTGACGGGCCATAAATATAGTAACTGACGAGGGAATGTATGTAAATTCATGGATGTCGAATAATCGAAAAAGAATCTTTTAAAGTGGTATTACCTCTTTAATTTTCATATAACTTTGCGCTGGACAAATCCAAGGATCTCTTCTTAAGAGCTGCGCACTTCTTTGACTAAACTATCGCACAACTGTTGTGCGATTGTCGTTTGTTTCGCAGCTAATTCAACTGTTTAGTTGCACAACTAAAATCGAGTAGTGTGCGTTCTTCCAACGAACCGAAAATCAACGTATTCTTTAATAATTTTTTTTTTAAATTCCCGACACGAATGAATTAAATAGCGCCCTTATAAATCCGTCTATTGATGAAAGCCATATGAAAATCCGTACGTAATGTAATAAGTTATCTTGTTTAAACAGACGAGGCGAGGTCCTATATGTGTCAGTAATATTAATATGACGGGCGCAGCTTTCAATTCTATGACTAGAATTTTAAACGAACATTTTAAAATGATCATTGCAACTTGAAAAATAACAAATTTTAACTGTTTTGGAAATTACTAGGAAAAGGTCTACAAAGGTCATAAAGAATTATTTTAGTAATGTTGAAAAAAAAACAATACAATAAAAATTAAAGCTAGGATCGATAAAAAAATATTAAAGTAAAAACGTATACAAGGTCATAATATAAAAATAATAGTGTACGTAAACAAGGTTAATAATCATAGGCGAGGAGACTTTTTTAATTGCTATTGAAAACTCATATAAAAGTTACTAACTATTCCCGTGCGGCTTCATCCGCATGAAATTATGAAAATTTTATTTTACTGTTTACATGTGTTAAATTATCAATAGCAAATGTCAAAATGACATTACACGACAAACTTTGGTAATTTTGCTTCCTTGATGTTGGCAGCAAATTATGGTCTCTTTCTCACATTAGGGTTTTTATCCAAAATATTTAGCCCTAAGTTTAATAGCGTGAAAATATATAGCCTAAAGCGTGACGTAAGTGTTGGGCTTTTTATTAAAATAAGGATTATTTAAAAATATAGTGTAATTGCTGATATCTTAGACAACAAAGAAGTGTGTGTTTACGCTTTATTATAATAGTACAGATTATGCCACTAAGAGATGTTAATGAAAACTAAGAGAGTCCCTTACAGTGTACGAATATATGAATACTTTTCCAGCGCTATTTCATAGGAAATGAGTCATACTAGATGTCACTTTTGAGAATCCAATCAGGATTGTGACTAAAAGCAATCGTTGTTCGCGCTTCGTGAACCGTGTTATGTGCTGGCGTATTTCAATAGCTTTTATAATGCACTGAATACGTTTTGGAACTTTCATATACGATATTTATTAGCAATAGCTGATTTTAAACATTATGGGTATCGAGTTTTGTAAGCGTATTAAAAGTTATTTGGCGGGAAAATCTTTTAATAACAACGCCATCTATCGCTTTCTTTATTGTTTGTAAAACCAGCTTAATGTTAATAAATGTCTATCGTTTCTTTGATATGTGTTTGAATGTTCAAATAATAAAATTGATTTCGATTTTATTACAATACGACATTGAAATGTAAATTTATTTCAGTCAACATAAAATTTACAAGTCCTATACAGTAAAGATTGAAAACAATTATTTGTAAATAATCTAAGAACTAAAGTATTTGTTAAGCGTTTTGTTTTGTTAATGTAAGTTGATTTAATTTTGTAATTTTACTTTTTAAAAGAATTCAACGTAATTTTAGGGCATCCTTTT